AACCAAAAGAATAAACCATTAAAAGATTGATAACACCATTGAAAAATCTAAAATCTATCAAATTACATTAAAATTAGATTTTTAGATAGAAAAAATCTAAGTCATACAGTTGTCTCCTCCCTTATCCACAGTTTCAATTTGGTTTCAATCACTGCCTGTCAACTGCAGCCCGAAAAGAGGAAAGTACAGTACAATAAGACATCTAGCGACAGAGAGAGAGAGATCACATTCACATGACTTTTATTATACTATACTGTTATAATTGTCCTATTTTATTAATTACTGTTAATGTTTTATTATTTCTAATTTATAAATTAAGTTTTATCATGGGTATGTATGTATAGGAAAAAGTAGTGCATATAGGGATTATGTAGGGATTGGTACTATCTGCAGTTTCAGGCATACACTAGGGTGCCTAAGTCCCCACACATAAGGGGAGTCTACTGCATCTCTTTATGGAGTAAAATAACTCATGCTCACAGCCATGTATACGGCCAGAATAATCAGTGTATAGTGTGCTAGATTCGTCACTAAGGTGGCTCCAATGCTTTGGATATCCATCATATAAGTTTTATGCTTCGGAAGCAGGTTGCCAAAAATACAGATTTGGCAATCTGGCTTAAACCACTCCTAAGACATTACCAACACAGGTCATGCCAAAGTTTTACATTGCAAATCCAGTGGCTACTTCTCATCCCTTCTCTCCTTTTCTCCAAATACTCATCCTTCCTTTGAGCACATACAAGGGATAGGGAGATAATATATCTTTCCTCTACTGCCTACTTCTAGGCTACGTATATGTTCATCCTTTCTTTGAGCTTATATAAGGCAAAGATCAATTAGACCCAATTACAGATGCTGAGAAACTAACCATCAAAATAAGAAAACCACTACAAAAATTATTGTGATAAGTGAATCTGCCAAATATACTAGCATATTCAAAACACTAAAAGGATCTTAAAACAAGAAATCCGTAACTCTTTTGCCCTTTTTCTGTCCAAGATTCACTTCTCTACCTTTACTTTTTTTTATTTTATTTATTTCGTGTGTGTGTGTGTGTGTGTGTGTGTGTGTGTGTGTGTGTGATGGAGTCTTGCTCTATCCCCCAGGTTGGAGTGCAGTGGTACGATCTCGGCTCACTGCAAGCTCCGCCTCCCGGATTCACGCCATTCTTCTGCCTCAGCCTCCCAAGTAGCTGGGACTACAGGTGCCCACCACCACGCCCAGCTAATTTTTTTTTTTTTTTTTTGTATTTTTAGTAGAGACGGGGTTTCACCATGTTAGCCAGCATGGTCTCGATCTCCTGACCTCGTGATCCACCTGCCTTGGCCTCCCAAAGTGCTGGGATTACAGGCGTGAGCTACCGCGTCCAGCCTCTACCTTTACTTTGGACCTCATCCACTGGTATCTTCTGGGATCCTGCTATACCAGTTAAACTTCCACCTGTTCAACCTCTCCCATTAACAGCCCCCTCCACTGAACATATATAATCAGGCTCAAGCTTTTCTATAATTAGTAGTACATAAAGAATCATACTCTAAAAGTTATAGTCATTCTACTCTTAAAGACTGAGACTTTTTTAGACGCACACACAGTTTTAATATTCTTTTTTTTATATATATATTTAGGTATTTTGAATTTTTTTCACGTGTTATATTAGAGAGTAAACTCATAGTACACAATGGGGCTAGAATTTAATACTAACAATGTTATTGTGTCCCTAAATGAATGAGGAAGCTCTTAGAGAATACTGTCATGAAATGAATAAAATATAAATTATTTAAATATTGCTACCATAAAATGTAATACGTAACTGAAATATTAGAAAAGACAAATACTGTTATCTAATTCCAAAGTGTCATAAACAATATGGAAACCACTCTAATTAAATTACTTAATCAACCTCTGCCAAATATTTGCTGATTTTTATTTTGGTTAAGCAGAGTTATTTAATAAGTATCCAATAAATTTCAAAGCAGGGAAAAATAAATAAATTTGGGCCAATGGCAAGATATCATCTCTTTCTAAATCTAAACTTTGGGGAAAAACTATGCTTTCTTTCACAACAGTGATTTTTTTTTCACTAAATGTTAATATTATGGCTCCCCTATTAACTTTGCTCCTTTAATGTTTTCATTAATTCTCTTATTCATTCAGTTGTGCAATATTTTACATGTCTACTGTGCACCAGGTTCTTTTTAGGCACTGAGATACAGCATTCAGCAAAACATTAAAAAATCACTGCCTTCATAGAAACTCTATGCTAGGTGATATATATAAGAAAACACATTTCTCAATTGCGTGCCCGTCAGAAATTCACTAAGGCAAGAAATAAAGTATCTTTGGGCCAGGACAGGCCACACCCACAGCCATTACTAGGGTGAAACTTCAAACTAGTGAAATGTATACACACACACACACCCCGCCGCACACACAGAGAGATTCGTATCTTTATCTGTATACAGATATAGATAGATAGACATACAGACCGATAGAAATGATGTATATTTCTTTCACTGTCTACTTTTGGCTAAGACACAGGTGTTAAGCAAAAATAATCTGGGCATTCATTCTCTGCTGCAAAGGCATTATTTTCTGAAGAGCTGGAAGACCATTTTCTTTCTTCTTCATCCTCTTACCTGTAGTACTTTCCTTTTTATAACTATTCAGAAAAGATAACTCCCTAACAAAGAAACTTTGACAATGGCTTATTTCACCCTTAGATGTGCATTCTAACAAATGACACATGACAGCAAGGGACAGATTCAGGAAGATTTGGTACAGTACATGCTGCTGGGAATGACTATTTTCTATACATTGTACTTACAGCATGAGGGCAGTGAGGAATTGGTGAAGATCCCACCTAATAAAACAAAGCCAAAAGAGTATAGCACCTACCCTAAACCGGAAATAGTAAATCAAATTTCATCTGTAAAGTAAAGGAATTTCAGGCCATGTCAATTTCTGATTATTCCAAGAAAGAAAGCTATGTACACATAATAGCCAAAACCACAACCACCCAGTGCCTGGAAAGCAAAATCAGTCACCTGTTTAAAAAAGAGGCACTATTTCAGTTTCAGGAAAAAATAAGAAAATCGCGTTCTATATTTGTTCATATTCACTAGCATTTTGTACACTAAGAATACTACTATACTGCAGAAATGCCTCTCCTTCTGAAAACTTTTGAAAAATTCCTTTCAATTTCCACATAAATTTTAAGTTTTAGTAAACCTGATAGTTGCAACATATTCTTATATTATACCTAAACCCTCCCAGCTGAAGTTTACAGCTCTTTACTCTTGTCTTTGTTACCTCTTATAATTGAAGAATCTCTCAGTGAATAATTACTAAACTTCTAAGAGGTTCCTGATGTTAATTAACCCCTTAATAAATTTTCTCTCCTACAGGAATCTCCAAATTCCAAATTTCCAGACTTACAGGCCCAGAATACCCCAAAAGTGTATGACAACTCAGATCTATGAATATAGCAGCAATCAGTAGTGGAAACTCCTTGTCCCAGGGCCTCAGCTAACCTGGCAGATGTCACTTACTATGACATTAAATCGAACTAAAAATATTAACTCTGAGATGGCATTAATTCTAGCAAATAGAAAATTTATCTGTCACATTTCACTTATAGATAGGTTAACTTTGTTCTAGTTAATAGATAAGTTTCTAAGACGGTAAAGAGAATCATCTATAAATTTGTATTAACAATTAACTTTGATGTGTCAGAAATATCTAAACTTAATCACTGCTGCCTTTTACCTTCTCTACGTGTGCCACTGTAAAAAAAAAAAAAAATGTTTAAATCACCATGCAGATAAATTCTGCAGAAAATCTCTCTTCCTCTCTTCCTTATGGAAATCCTGCTTTGTTTTTAAGATCCAAATAAAGTGATACGCCCTACAAAAATGTCCCCACAGGGACCTCAGCAGAAGTAATCAAAACTCTTTTTACCAAGAGCATGTTGCTTATAGTTCTAGTAATTAACTTGTTTATAAGTCCTCAACTTTAACAGTATTTGCTTGATAGCAGACTAAAGTGTTCATTACGTCCAAATCCACCAGGCAGTACGATTAAAATATCTCTTGTGACAAAAGTTTGAGCCTTCATAATCCTTTTTTTTTTCTTACAGTTTTGATTTTAAGAATTAGGTAAAAATGCATGCCCTCTTTTCTCCCAGCAAATCAACTACTTCCTGACTTTCCTCTTACAATGGCAAAACCATTGAGACCTTCGAATCTCCCATGAGTCCTCTCTCTTCCTCACCTTGGGCTGGTCCTCCACAGCGTCTTTTGCATCTGTTGTCTGTTTTCCAATTCCACAACCCAGGTCCTTCTTCAGTCCCTCTTTTCCTTTTATAGAGAACATATCACTAGGCCTCTAACTGGACACATTGCCATAACCAATGCTAATAATTCAATAACAGAGTTCCAAAATATGTGAAGCCAAACTCTCCTTCCCTTACTCTACTGTTTCCACCACTGTGATTACAACCTTCTAATATATTATATAATGTACCTATTTGTAATATTTATGTCTCCGCCCAATAAAACATAAGCTAAATAAGGGTAGGGGGTTTGTTTTGTCTTTGTTTTTGTTTTTGTTTTCTGCTTTATTCACTGATATATCCTCTGTACCTAGAATAGTGCATACTTGAAAATGGGCACAAAATATGTATTGAATGAACTAAGGGGTATTTTGCTGAAGTAAATGTAAACTTCAGCATTTTACTAAGACAGAAGCAGTATGTCTTATCAATTAATTCCTGCACACAGCCAGTGAATGCAGGTATCATATACACAGGAGGAAAGCTGTGGCTGAAGAGTTTTCTCTTCTAATCCCAGAAGTGAAGAAAGATAAGACGACAAAGACAAGAAAAGGAGATGGGCTTGGAAACAGTTCAAGCTGAATGCAACAGAAGTCGGTTTTTTCCAATCCTAGGATTAGGATTCCATAAATATAAACAAAGAAAAATGAAAGAACAACTAACACACCTCTCTTCTCACGATGTATTTCATCCAGAAGCTGCTCCTGCCTTTCTATCTGTTGGAAGAGACACTGCAGCTCAGATTCCTTGTTTTCAGTCAGATTCCTGAGTTGTTGTCTGCAGAGCATCAGCTGGTGTCGCAGATTTTTCTCTCTGTTTTCTCTCTCTTTCAGTTCCTCACAGAGCCACTGAAGTTTAGTCTAAAAAATGACATTTATATCTAATGGTTAAAGAAACCCAGAAAAGAGTAGCATTTCAAAACATGAGGAAAAAAATAAGTAACATCACGATAATTTGAACAAACACAGATAATTAACTAGCAAATTTTTGCAAAATTTTTAAATACCCATGTTTAATTTGCATAATGGTCTATATCAATTAAAAGCTGGTTCAGAAATTAAGCCATGACATTCGTAGATTTTTATAAAATCCCTTTAGAAAGACAAAGTTTGGCCTATTAAACTTTCAATAATATGATAGGTAAACCTCTGATTTGATATATAGGGCAGCCTAGTATTGGAATTTAAAAAACAAATACAGCCCAGAATAAAACTACAGATTTTTTATAAAAGAAGTATTCCTTCAGAGAATTTTTTAAAAGAGAAAATTCCTAGCATGACTTCTAAAAACGCATATCCCCATTGATCTAGCTAATTAGGTATGAGGAGAGATTTTTTTATTGACTAGAAGATATAGAGTTAATGTTTATGCTTCTAAGACACAAGGAAAGTGAATTCTGGCAACTCTTCTTCACAGATTCTAACCTCACCTATCTTTTTTTCTTTCTCTCCTTTTTTTTTTTTTTTCCACTCTGTCGCCTGGGATAGAGTGCAGTGGCATGATCTTGGCTCACTGAAGCCTTGACCTCCTGGGCTCAAGCAATCCTCCTGCTCAGCCTCCACAGTAGCTGGGACCACGGGTGCACACCACCATGTCTGGCTAACTGTTTTTTGTATTTTTTGTAGAGTTGGGGTTTCACCATGTTGCCCAGGCTGGCCTCAAATTCCTGAGCTCAAGAAATTCACCTGTCTCAGCTTCCCAAAGTGCTGGAATTACTGGCGAGTGACCACACCCAGCTCTCACCTATCTTCAGTATTTAGATATTTAAAACAAGAATAGGAAAAGAAATATTTCTTTCACCTTCAATACAGCAGGATTTCAGTCAAGTCTCAGGGCCTTCCTAAGTCAGGCTACCCTCCAATTCCTAGTTATATGTGAAATGTATTGTCCGTAGGAAAATCAAGTTTTTGAAGATAAAACCTGTATCATGATTATTAATATAAACTCTTATCAAAAACAAAAGGGGGCCATCCATCATAACAATTCCTCTTCTGGAATGATGATATATAGAAATCTGTAGAAATGGTCCCCAGTGAAATACCCGTAAGTGCTAAAAATAATTTTTAAAAAATTAACGTTTCTAAATGTTGTCCTCTGACCATACAGCAAATGAAGAAACATTTATTCAAGAAACTCTAGTTAACCTCATTAAAGTGGCACTTGAGGCATAACTGACTCCTTCCTTCTACCCTCAGTGTGACAGAAGCTCCACTCCTCATTCCAGAAAAACACTGCCAAGAAAACAGGGTTTTCTCTTTCTCCAGTTCACAGTCAACGTACATGATAGCATACTAGATGGGCAGATCACCAGGATTTTTCAGCCTTGCAGCTCTGATTTGCATAGGCTAAATTCCTGGCCAAGTGCAGCAAGATGTTGAGAATCCCTTGCTCCCCCAATGTCCCACTGATAGGATGGTTACTCTCCCCAAGCACAGCAGGCTGAGAATACTGGGGTCCCAATTGCCATTTCCCCGGGCCACTTATAATAAAGCTGTACTTATGAATATGCCTGATGAATACAGATTTTTTTTTGAAATCCTCGAGAAAATACTAGCAAACAGAACCCAGCAAGCCATAAAATGAACATCATGATTAATATGGTTTGGCTCTGTGTCTCCACCCAACTCTCATGTCGAATTATAATTTCCAATGTTGGGGGAGGGACCCAGTGGGAGGTGACTGGATCAAGCAGGCAGTTTCCCCCTTGCTGTCCTTATGATAGTGAGTTCTCGAGAGATCTGGTTGTTTAAAGGTGTGTAGACTTCATCCTTTGCCCTCTCTTTCTTTCCGCCATGTGAAGACAAGACATGCTTGCTTCCCTTTCACCCTTCCACCATGATTGTAAGTTTCCTGAGGCCTCCTCAACCAAGCATCCTGCACAGCCTGTAGAACTGTGCGTCAATTAAACCTCTTTTCTTCATAAATTACTCAGCCTTGGATAGTTCTTTATAGCAGAGTGAGAATAAACTAATACAATGATCAAGTGGAAGTTATCCCATGAATGCAAAGTTTAAGAGATATTAATGTAATACACCATATTAATAGAATTAGGGACAAATGATATCTTATATGATTATATCAAAAGATACAGAAAAAGCATATAATAAAGTTAAACATTCCTTCATTAAAAAGACACTCAAAAAACTACAAATAGAAGAGAACCTCCTTAATATGATTTTTAAAATATCTATGGAAAACCCACAACTATTATCATACTTAATAGTAAAAGTCTGAATGCTTTCACACTAAGACCAGAAACAAGAAAAGGATAACAGCTCTCACCACTTTCATCTAACATTGTATTAGAGGGTTATGAAAAGGCAATTATACAAAAAATAAAGAGAAATTAAAAATATCCAGATTGAAAAGGAAGAAGTGAACATATCTGTATTTGCAGGTAACAGGCTTATATGCAGGAAAATCCTAGTAATTACATTTAAAAAATCTATTAGAACTAATAAAAGAGTCCAGCATATTGCAATACATAAAATCAGTACAAAAATTAATTATATTTCTATATATTAATATTTGCAATGAGCAATCCAAAAATAAAATTAAGATAATCATATTTGCAATAGTATCAAAAATGAAGTATTTAGTGATAAACATAAAACTGCAAAACTTATATCTAAAAACTACAAAATGCTTTTTAAAAAACTGAAGACTAAGTGGGAAGATATCCTAGATACATGGATTGAAAGAGAATATTATTAAGATAGCAATACATCCTGCCCAATGTACAGATTTAACGGGATCCCTTTCAGAATCCCATCTGGCTTCTTTAAAGAAATTGATGAGTTGATCCTATGTTTCATATGGGAATTCAAGGCAAATTTCCAAAATAGCCAAAAACAAAAGATATTGGAAAAGAAGAATATAATTGGAGGATTCATACTTATCCATTCCAAAGCTTACTACAAAGCTACAGTAATCAAGATGGTGTGGTATTGGCATAAGGACAGATATATAGACTGAAGGAACAGAAGTGAAAGTCTAAAAATAAACCCTTACATAAATGTCAATTGATTTTCAACAAAAGAGACAAAACAATTTAATGGAGAAAAGAATAGTCTCACCAACAAATGGTGCTAGGACAACTAAATATACAAACACAAAAGAATTCATTTATATCCCCTACTTCACACCATATACAAAAACTAACCCCAAAAGGATCACAGACCTAAATGTTAAGAGCTGAAACTATAAGATTATTAAAAGAAAACACAGGTATAAATCGTTGTGACCTTGGCTTGGCAATAATTTCCTAGGTATAATACCAAAAGCAGAAACCATCAAAGAAAAAAAGCTGATAAATTGAACTTTGAAATTAAAATTCTGCACTTCAAAGGCCACCACCAACAAAGAGAAGAGACAACCTGCTAAGTGGGAGAAAATATTTGCAACTCAATGTCTAATGAGGGAATTATATGTCAGATTCATAAAGAAGTCAATAATAAAAAGACAAATGATGCCGTTAATGAAACGTACAGAGGATGTAAATAGATATTTCTCCAACGAAGATATACAAACAGCCAATAAGCACATGAAAAGATGCTGAACATCATTAGCCATCAGGAAAATGTAAATCAAAACCACAATGAGACTCTACTTCACACCCAGCAGGGTAGCTAATATCAAAAAGACAGATAATAACAATTGTTTGCGTAGATGTGGAGAAACTGGAACTCTGACATACTGCCGGTGGGAATGCACAGCAGTGCAATCGCTTTAGAAAATAATCTGACAGTTACTCTATGGGTTAAACATAGAGGTACCATACAACCCAGCAGTTCTACTCCCAGGTAAAACTCCAAGAGAAATGAAAAACAAATGTCCATGCAAAAACTCAGACAGAAATTACTCATAGCAGCATTATAACAACAGCCAAAAAATTGAAACAATCCAAATTTCCATCAAATGATAGACAGATTTTAAAAATGGAGTATATCCAAACAATGAAATATTATTTGGCAATAAAAAACTGAGGTCATGATACACACTAAAATGGATATATCATAATATGGATGAAACTCAAAAACATTCTGTTAAATGAAATAAGTCAATCACAAAAGACCACATATTATATGATTATATTTATGGCCGAGGGCAATGGCTCACACCTGTAATCCCAGCACTTTGCGAGGCCGAAGCGGGCAGATTATGAGGTCAGGAGTTCGAGACCAGCCTGACCAACATAGTGAAACCCCGTCTCTACTGAAAACACAAAAACTATCCAGGCGTGGTGACATATGCCTATAATTCCAGCTACTCAGGAGGCTGAGGCAGGAGAATTGCTTGAACCCAGGAGGCGGAGGTTGCAGTGAGCCAAAATTGCGCCACTGCACTCCAGCTTAGGCAACAGAGCAAGATTCTATCTCAAAAAAAAAAAAAAAAAAAAACATATATATATTATATTTATTTAAAATGTCCTGAATAGACAAATCTACAGAGACAGAAAGATTAGTGGCAGACTAGAACTGGTGGTTGGATTTATAGGTGATGGCTAAGGTGTCCTGATTTTCTACTTGAGGTGATAAAAGTGTTCTCAAATTAAATGTGGTGATGACTGCACAATTCTGTAAATACACTAAAAAGCATTAAATGGTGCATTCTAAATGGATGAATGGTATGATATACGAATTATAGCTCAATTAAGGTGTTATTTACACACACACACAAAAGAAGGGTAGAGAGTAAGTCAAGACAGAAAAACAAAGCTAAAATTATACATCTATGGATAAATGAGACCTGGCTTTAGTACATGCTATGGAATCTATAGGCTTCTGTCTTGTCTGGATGTCACTGGCTAAATGTAGGAAGTCTGAAAATTAAATTGGGCTGTGCACTTCCAATTATGATT